GCACGCACACACACACACACAATAGATTCTCCTTGTGTGTTTGTGAGAAACACAGTGAAACACACAGGAGCAATATAATCACAGCCCTTGATTGGAATGTGTCGTCTTCGCCAATAAGCCAAACCGCAATTACAGCACATTTCACTCATATCCTAAAATCATAACCTTAACATTATTACGAGAACATTATAGCAATTAACTCAGTTTTAGACGCAAGTGCAACTCCCGCGAGGAAGCGATGACGCTGGGAACGCTCGAACGCAGTTTGACGGGAAACAGAACATGTGACCCACTGAAGTCCCGATAATACGGACCAATCACAGCTGTGTCAGAGAGACTAGAACTGGGGCGTTGCTATGCAGAAATCACATTTATAAGAGGCAATCATGTCAGGAAATGACCATTACAGCAAAACCGCACAAAATAAACATGGAAAAACCCGATTTACCATTTGTCCCCTACAAATGTTGTTTAACTGCAAAGTGATTTCAGACAATCAGTTATTTATTGTGCGCCAAAACTTGCCGATGCGTTTAAAAAGCCAGCGAGTCTGCAGAGCACAAGCACGTTTGACCACACTCGGGATTGCTTCGGCTCTGTACAACGGCCGTTTCTACGCTTAATAAATGTAATAATTATAATTCACACAAAGCGGCCCATCGGCACAAAGGCAAATATGAATAATTCATGAAAGAGAGAATGTGGGTAGAGGATAAAATGGCTCAAACATCTCTCTCTCTCTATAGCCGCGTTTCCATTACCCTTCAAATTGCGCAAATTGAAATTGCGAATTAAAAATACGCTCAATGGAAACATGTCAATTTCGCAAAAACTCCCATTTATCGCAAAAAAGTTTTTACGCTCGCATGAGGTGGTTTTTCAGGCAATTCGAAAAAGGAATATTTCGCAAAACTGCAATGGAAACAGTTTTTGCGCAATTACAGTCACCTGACTTAGAAGGCGCGTGTGTTTGGGGTCCGTGTAGGCTATTGCGTCCATTCGTTTTTCCATAGGCTATAATAGAATAGCAAAAAAAGACTTCTCATACAAAAAAAGAAATATAACAAACTCATTTTCCAAAACTGTAAAAGGTTATATAAAAATAATACATTCATCAATTATTTTATGATAAATATATTACTGTCTTAAGTGAAGTCATTTATAGTTATAAACGCAAATAATAATAATTATTATTATAGCCTATTACATTTATTAGGCTACATTTATTAGGCTACATATTTAGAAGGCGCTTTTATCCAAAAAAGGAACAAAGCAATTCGTCAAATGTCATTCATAATACAGGTTAGACAATAATAATACAGGGCTAAGATTATCACAAATAAACACAAGATTTTGACGTATATCCAAGGGTTTGTGGAGCGCGCACTGGATGACGGAAGCACGGGCGCGAACACTTGCATTTTCCTGTCAACAGTGGAAACAACTTAAAATACTCTATCATTTATGGTCATACAGAAAATAATAATACATAATCCGTAACTACTTTTATTTGTGTAAACTCACAATAACAAGAAAACGTTCTTCTTTTGCTAAATAAATCAGGCGCGCTTTCATGATCTCCGTGAACTGGAACATGTCTCAGAAATGAACTGAAACAAAATATAGCCTATAGGCTAAAGCTTGAACAAACAAATTCAAATCGAAAGCAAATACCTTCTGATTATGTAATCCATATGAAAGGTGCATTTCTCTCTAAAGGCGCATCCCATCCGCTTTACAGTGGAGATGAAAATATGTTTGCAGTCGGCACTAACACTGTAGTTTATTAATAAACAATTAAAATGCCTCGTTATTTTTTCAGACACATTTATTATCATTAGCCTATAATCACCTATAAATCACCTAGGCTATGGTTCCAGAGACATGGCTCTTCTTATTCAGCACTGCGGGAAAAATATCATCGGGTTCTAATTTGGCCTTATAGAAAACCAGTAAAATCAAAAAAAAAATCATATTAATTTGTGAATATTTTAAATGTTTAATAAAGGGGCAAAAAGTCATAAACAAAAATCTGAAAATTCGTCTATATTTATTTTTTTGCGCAGCATTGGTGTGTAGTAGGCTACAGTTCAAATTGAAAATTTGTTGTTCAACTTTGCGCTTTAAAAATACAACAACCGTTCATTTTTCGTTTTTCAATTAGGCTACGGGTTAAAAAAGGAAAAATAAATGGACGCAAAAGTACACGGACCGTTTGGACAGAATACGAGACAAAGTTCTTTATTAAATTCATAAAAGAAAAAAGAATTGCAGGAATACTGGATTCTAAACCTCAAAGAAATGCCACAATCAAGACCTTGGAGCAGAAATGAGGGAGAAACACACAAAAACACCTCATGTGCCGTTCACAGTATTAGGGTCTTTCCTTACCATTAATGCTTGGATAACACACCACGTCTCCTTCCATTAATAATAATAATGTCTTGTGCGGTGGCTGCACGTCTATTCACATGTGTTAAACCTAAACGTCCAAAGTCGCATAACATCGGTTAAAGGAAACGCCGTCATATCGCAATAGTTTTTTATCGATATTTAGAAAAAACGCAAAAGTTTTGCGCAAATCTGTAATGGAAACGCGGCTTATGTCTCCCTCTCTCCCTCTCTCTCTCTCTCTCTCTCTCTCTCTCTCTCAATTCAATTCAATTCAATTCAATTCAAAATTGCTTTATTGGCATGACTGTACATCATACAATATTGCCAAAGCTTTGGAATACATAGAATAATTAGAAAGACATTAAAATAGTTAAAATATTATAACATCTAAATGTACAAATTTAATTAATTGTACAAATTAACAGTGTAAAATAAATAAATAAATAAATAAAATAAAATAATATAGAACATTTAAAAATTCTGTGAAGAATTTAAAATTCAGTGTGTACAGTAAGTGTGTGTGTGGGCGCATCACTGATTATTCGTCGACTCTCTCTTTTTGTGACAAGCATCAATGTATCTGGCTGCTAGTGTGATACAATCTCTTTTTCACCTAATAGATGTTGAAATTGTGTTTTGTTGTTTAATTGTAGGAAGACAATCTTTAATTGTCTCTCTCTCTCTCTATGTCTCCCTCTCTATCTCTCTATGTCTCCCTCTCTATCTCTCTATGTCTCCCTCTCTATCTCTCTATGTCTCCCTCTCTATCTCTCTATGTCTCCCTCTCTATCTCTCTATGTCTCCCTCTCTATCTCTCTATGTCTCCCTCTCTATCTCTCTATGTCTCCCTCTCTATCTCTCTATGTCTCCCTCTCTATCTCTCTATGTCTCCCTCTCTATCTCTCTATGTCTCCCTCTCTATCTCTCTATGTCTCTCTCTCTCTCTTTCTCTCTATGTCTCTCTCTCTCTCTATGTCTCCCTCTCTATCTCTCTATGTCTCTCTCTCTCTCTTTCTCTCTATGTCTCTCTCTCTCTCTATGTCTCCCTCTCTATCTCTCTATGTCTCTCTCTCTCTCTCTTTCTCTCTATGTCTCCCTCTCTATCTCTCTATGTCTCTCTCTCTCTCTTTCTCTCTATGTCTCCCTCTCTATCTCTCTATGTCTCTCTCTCTCTCTCTCTCTCTATGTCTCTCTCTCTCTATGTCTCCCTCTCTTTCTTTCTATGTCTCTCTCTCTTTCTCTCTCTCTCTCTCTCTATGTCTCCCTCTCTTTCTTTCTATGTCTCTCTCTCTCTCTCTATGTCTCCCTCTCTTTCTCTCTATGTCTCTCTCAATTCAATTCAAAGGGGCTTTATTGGCATGAAAGTTTTTGAAACAATGTTGCCAAAGCATATACAAAATATACAAATAAAATATATAATATATATATTATATATAAACATTTAACACAATGTTGGATATATTTGTGTGTGTGTGTGTGCGTGTGTGTCGGTCATTCACTGTCCCTCAGGTTGTGGCATGTTTGTACATATTTGGCAGCAAGATAAGTTCTGTCTCCTTCTCCCAGGAGAAAGTTTAATTTAGAAATTTCATTCAGGTCTTTGAAATTTGGGATTATACAGTTAAATTTGTTAAAGTAAAGGTTCCTTGTGTCTTTGAACGCTTCAGATTGTAGGAGAAAGTGCATCTCTGTCTCAACCTCACCTGTCAAACAGTGATCACACGTTCTGTTTTCTTTTGGTTGCCATGATTTTTTGTGTCTTCCTGTTTCAATTGCCAATTTGTGATCACTGAGCCTGTACCTGGTGAGGATCTGTCTCTGCTTTCTATCTCTGACAGTAGAGAGATATTCTGCTAATTTATAGTCTCTTTTTAGGGTCAGATAACATTCTAGTCTTCTTTGGCTTTTAGTTTCTTCTTTCCAATGTTCTCTCTCTCTCTCTCTATGTCTCCCTCTCTTTCTTTCTGTCTCTCTCTCTTTCTCTATGTCTCTCTCTCTCTATGTCTCTCTCTCTCTATGTCTCTCTCTCTATGTCTCCCTCTCTATCTCTCTATGTCTCTCTCTCTCTCTCTCTCTCTCTCTCTCACATTTTATAATTTAATGATGGTCTAGAGAGACATAGAGAGAGAAAGAGAGAGAGACATGGAGAGAGAGAGAGAGAGAGAGAGAGAGAGAGAGAGACTCTCTCTCTCTCTCTCCATGTCTCTCTCTCTTTCTCTCTCTATGTCTCTCTAGACCATCATTAAATTATAAAATGTGACGCATTAACATAATATTATGTAATACGCACATTTCTATTCTGAAAAATGATGAATAATCATTGAAAATATAGTTATAAATGTAAAAGGATTTTTTGCATTACTGTAATGAGAATCTGGGGTTTAAATGTGCTGAACTATCATGAATATAATATCAGAAATGCAAATTTTAAGCAATTAAAATGTGAATATATAGTAAAGTGTAATTTATTCCTGTGATCAAAGCTGAATTTTCAGCACATACTCCTTCAGAAATCACTCTAATATGATGATCTGATGCTCAAGAAACATTTATGATTATTATCAGTGTTGAACATGACAGTGCCGTGGTGTGAGCGAGATGTTCACCTGAGAAAGCGTTGCTGTAGTATCGCGAGAGCGTCTGCATGATGTCTTTCGAGTGTTGAGTCCAGGGCGCGATCTTACGGTACGTCTTGACCCGGTGAACCAGCTGAGATCCTCCGTACTGTAAAGACAGTGTGTCTCCGTGGTCCTCGTACAGCTCCTCAAATAACCTGCACACACACCATAAACACCGTCAATATGATGTCAACACCTGGCTGACTGGTGTGATCAGAGCTTGAAGTGAACACTCGACAAATGCGGGTAATAATCAACTGTGGCGGGAAACGCCGTCAAATCACGAGCAAAATTGGCGAGTTACTCACTTATATTTACTCCTTTTGCTGGGAAGTTCGTGTCAGTCAAATCTGCAGTGATTTAGCGCAAATACTCGTGAGTCCTCATGATATATTAAATACAGTGTATTGCACAGAATCTGCTCACTTGAACACACTCGTCACTACACAACAAAGAACGGCGCGCTTGTTCACTTGCATTGAAGCAACAGCGAAGATTAAAAAGCTTTTGGTGAACAGAAAACACATTATTATTTCCCAGCATCCTACATGTTTCTGATGTTCTTTGTGCAGTGTTGATCTGTCCACCTAAACACATGTTTGAGGAGGAGGAGATGACATGAATATCGTGCAAAAGTTTCAGTAATTCAAATTTAAAGGTAAAACTAATATATTTAGTATATATAACTATATACATATGCATGATTATACTTTTCAGAGGGCCGGCATTTCTGTATTTAAAATCCTTTTTTTTATTGATTTCATGTAATATTCTAATTTTCTGAGATTTTGGGGTTTTCATAAACTGTAAGCCATAATCATCACAATTATAACTTTTGCACGATATTCAAAATTTTCGAGTTTCATCTGTAAATAAGAAATGAATGTATGAAATCCAAATTGTAATATATATATATTAGGGCTGTCACTTTACGTTCGAAAATCGATTGCACAATCGATCGGACCAACCAACACAAGTTTCGAAAACGAAAATAGGGAATCGATTTTAACGTTTTTTTTTTGTTCTTGTTTTCTTTACACCAAAAATGTGTTTTATGTGGACAGATCAGTACAGTATCAGGACATGTAGGATGCTGGAAAATAACAATGTCTTTTCTGTTCACCAAATTCGCTATTACTTCAATGCAAGTGAACAAGCGCGCCGTTATTTGTTGCTTAGTGACGCGAGTGTGTGTGTGTGTGTGTTCAAGTAAGCCAGAAATGCGCAGATTCTGCGATACGCTGTATTTAATACATCATGAGGATCACGTGTTGCGTATTTGCTCTGAATCGGCGCGGATTTGTTTTACACGAACTTCCCCAGCAAAGTGAGTAAACACAGAAACGCCAGATTGGCTCGTGATTCGACAGCGTTTCCCGCCAAAGTTCATTTGTACGCGCATCTGGCGGGTCGAGGTGTTAATCTCAATCCCTGAATGTTGCGCTTCTGTTTGTCATTGTGCTGAAACTTCACGCCAGTAAATCATCAGGAATATTGCTGACTTGTGCGTCTCAAGCGCCTCTTTACGCTCGTCCTAACGCCTGTTAGGTGGCCGTGGATTTGCCTGTATTTGGTGTTGGAAATGGAAACGTCTTTAGACATGGAAAATCGATTCAATGAACACTTACGTCTCAAAAATCGATCAGGATTTTTCCACAAAAGTGACAGCCCTAATATATATATATACACACATATACACATAAACTGTGACGTAGTTAATCTGGTTTTCTTATTTTCGGCCAGTAGAAGTTCTGAATGGCCGGTAACTTAAAGATTTAGTAGCCGAATTGGCCGGTGAGTGAAAAGCTTGATTTCAAACCCTGATGCCCCGTTTACACGAAGGGAAGACGCAGATATGTCCCTGCGGTTTGGCCTCTCATTTACACGAAAACCCAGTTTTTATCACAGAAAACGATTCTTTCTAAAAACTCCGGCCAAAGTGGAGATTTCTGATTATGTGTGGCCGTGTCGACCGGGAGAAACGGGGTTTTAGGTTCTCAAACGTCACATTATGCGCCAGAAAATGCGCATTTGCCCAAAAATTTGATAAAATTTTTGATCAAAGCCCCGCCCCCCAGTTTGGCAGAGTTATGATGGCGCTCGACAGCGGATTTATGCGGGTTGATGTAAATGACAACTTTTTTGAAACCGATGTTGTGTGCACGATGTTATTATTGAAAACGGAGGGTTATTATTGAAAACCTTTTCACAAGACTTTGGGGTTTTCATAAGCTGTAAGCCATAATCATCATAATTATAACACATAAAGGCTTGAAATATCTCACTTTGCATGTAATGAGTCTATATAATATATTAGTTTCAGCTTTTAAGTTGAAGTACTGAAATAAATGAACTTTTGCACCATATTCTAGTTTCGAGTTTCACCTGTATTAGTTTCTCTAAATACCCGGCGATGTGTAAATGAGTGTGACGTGGACTGCACCGGTACCTGACGCAGTCGGTGTCGAACTGAAGCTTGGGTTTGTCGATCATCCCGAGAGCGTAGAGCTGGTACGCCAGAGCACATTTACCCACCATGAACTGGGCGGTGTTGGTTCGATCCAGACAGTCCACACAGTTCGTCCTCAAAACCCCGGTCTGTCAAAAAATAACACACAATAATTCGTTTTCAGCATTGGTAATAATCATAAATGTTTCTTGAGCATCAGATCCTCATATTAGAGTGATTTCTGAAGAATCATGTGACACTGAAGACTGGAGTAATGATGCTGAAAATACAGCTTTGATCACAGGAATAAATTACACTTTACTGTATATTCACATAGAAAACTGATGATTTACACTGGAATAATATTTCAAATTTTTTACTGTATTTTTGATAAAATAAATGCAACTTTGCTGAGCAGAAGAGACTCTTTCAAAAACTCCAAGAGTCCAAAGTTTTGAATCGTAGTGTAAATATGATCATAACAGACTTCATATGTGATGTTTTGTTTCTGGTGTTCAGTTTAATGTTCACTATAAGACAACAGGCTCAACCAATCACGTGAGTTGGGGGCGGGGCTATCAGTTTGGCTGACCAATAAATGACCGGTGAGGGGTGTGTTCAGAAGAACTGTTACAAAACAATAATATGCATTTCATATACATTTTAAATGTATTTCAAATGTGATTAAAACCACAGCGTGTGCCAAAACGTACAAATACATTTATGGAAAATAGATTTTTTTAAATAGCCATTAAAGATCAAAAAGGCATTAAATACTATTTAAATTTTCTAAATATATCAAAACAAGGGAAACCAACAATGGAATTTATAAAATTGCAAAGCATGTTCCCAAACTACCACTTTTAATGCATCTACAAGTAAAATAAAAACAGAGTTTTATTAAAAGTAATAATATAAAAAGCGTATTTAAAAATTAAAATTGAAATGTGTAAAAGGAAAAGAAAATGCAGAAGTGAATCTTTTCAACACCTAGTGAACAAAGGCAAGTTTTAAAAGTGTTTTTAAATAAGTTTTCATATCTCGCGATATTAAAATCCCCCTGTAGTCGATAATTAGATCCCTTAAAACTCATCTTGATCACCAAATCACATATTTAAACGTTTTTTCTTTATGCCTTAAAATATCTTGAATGTAACTCGACACCCTCGCCTCATTTAGTATGCGCGGTTCTATGAATATGCAAATGAGCCCCGCCTCCACTCACTCACTCACTCAGAGATCCACTGGTTGACGATCACACGTTGATCTGATTGGTTACAAGGTCATTTGTGACGTCAGAAACACCAGCGATTTCAAACCGTGTTTTTGAGACTGTCTTTGGTTCACTGCAGTTTTAAGGAGGAAATACTCAGCAATGCTGTCGACTTATGAACTTACACATGGTGTGTCTTAAAGCATATTAAAAACACCACATAGACACATAAACAGCATTAAAAGCTGGATGTTCACCACAGGGGGGCTTTAAAATATAGTGTTAAAATATCGTCATGATCCCAAAATCGTGTATTGTCTCATCTCGTGAGCTAAAATATGATAAAAATATTTTGCTGAATTTTATAAAGCATTGAATCTTTGAGAACTACCACTTTTAATGCATCTACATCTAAACAACAACATAAAACCATCCTAAGTGCGACTGTTGTTTTAATCACGCAATCAAATAGGCACTGAATGGCCCAGATTGAGAGTCAACACGGAGCAGTTTTGATGCCGAGAGTCTGAACTTTGGACTGGAGATTGTTGACAAACCTGTAATCTGCCGTTCGGTGTGACCTTCCCTCCCAGATCTCCCCACCTGAACAACAAAACACAGTTAGATGAGAGTGTGTTGATGCAAACGGCTCCATTAGACGCTTCATCACGTGGACCATCAGAGGATCCACAGAAACAAATGCTGGAAAACAACAAAAGTGCTGCCATTCACTTCAGCTGTGACTCAGACGGGAGGTCGCGACCTTTCTGGGCTCTTGTGTGAGGACAGAAATAGTGTATTGAAGCACTGTACACACACTCTGCCCATGTGGAGTTCATCTTCGCAGAATATTCTCAAACGGATTTCAGTTTCATCTCTTAAATCTGTTATATCATGCTTGTTCACGGACACGTGCAGTTGCTTCTCTGCATAATCATTTTGTGTTGTCTACTGTGTTGTGTTTAAAATTGTATTTTATGCTAACCTGTATGTATTTATAATGTACTGTATTCATTTTATCCCCATTTCCTTTTCCCGAAGTGCTTATTCAGGCCGCCATTGTAAATAAGAACTTGTTTTTAATGACTTGCCTGTAAAAATAAAGCTGTGAGCAGCATTTAGCGGGGTTCAAGGCCTTTAAGCACATAAGCATTAAAGACATTAAGTTTTATTTAGCAAGCATTTAATCACTGATATCATAGATGGAAAAGACCATTTACAGCCAATACAAGCAGTTTACCATAGGACATATATGTTTTTCAAAGTTTTTTGATAGTTATAGCGCCCCCTATGGTCCGATCTCCATACAATTTTGCATGCTTGATTACTATGTTACATCACATATGATGTTTTGTTTAGGATTTATAGGCTTTCGAGTGTATTTTGCCACGCCCATTTTCTAAATGACCCTGTTATTGCCAACCAAATGCAAAATTTCTACATTTCAATTTCGCAAAAGTAGGTTTTGGACAAAATCCAAGATGGCAGAAGATTTTTGCAGCCGAAATCGAAATCGGAGATATACGTTTGGTCCGTCTTGAACCAGGGATCACAGTAATGTAAGATTTCATCCTTTTGCTTGCTGTAGCGCCACCTATTGGCCAATCGGGGGCATACTCTGATAGGTTGTCTCCAGTTTGAGGACTACCATCTGGCCGAGTTTCAAGTCTCTAGGCCTTACAGTGTGGTCTGCACGATGCGTTTTAGGGGAGAAGGAAAAAAAAACAATTACAATAGGTTTTTAGCACCTCGTGCTTGAACCCCTAAAAAAAAAAAAAAAAAATTCTGGATTCATACGGTTTCCCTGGAAGAGGAACATTAAAACAGAAACCACTGCAGTCCATTGGTCTATTGATTCTATCTTCATGTGAAATAAAAATCATTGATTTCTAGGAGTTTGCAGCTTTTTAGCAGTGAAAAAACTAATGTCACTAATGGAAAACCATTCAAACTGATGAACTCCTGTGGAGAACATTTGCAAAATATTCCCACTGAATTTTTTCTGAGGGCATTTCTATGCGAGTTTAAATGAGTCTGACATTCATTATTATATACATAAACAACATTGCACTACAAACAAAATAAGGTTCTTCCTAGTATTTTTGTCTTGTTTACTGGCACATATCTCACATTTTCTTAAATCAAGATACATTTACTTGAGAATCAATAAGATATTTTTTCTTGTTTTGAGCCTAAACGCTTCATTTTCATCTTTTATTTTTTTAGAAAACAAAAAACTAATTTCGATGCTCAAGTAAATGTATCTTGATTTAAGAATTTTTAGATATTGGAGTTCAGGAAGTGTAACAGCGCAGCGCTTCTGGTGTACGTCACACGCAGGCTCACTATTGGCCGACGCTGGTCATGTGTGTGATGTGTGTGTGTGTGTGTGTGTGTGTGACGTACACCAGAAGCGCTGCGCTGTTACACTACGAGAACTCACTCGAGGCCCACAGAGAAGAAGATGAAGAGTTGAATAAAGTCGTTATTTTTGTGTGTTTTTTTGCGCACAGAAAGTATTCTCGCCGCTTGATAAACTTAAGGTTGAGCCGCTGTCGTCACTCGGACTATTTTAACAATGTCTTTAATAACTTTCTGTTCCGGCAAGTTTCAATTACAATAGAAGCCTATGGAGGAGTGAGACAGCTCTCAGATTTAATCACAAATATCTTCATTTGTGTCCCGAAGATGAAGGAAAGTCTGACGGGGTTGAACAACACGAGGGAGAGTCATTACTGACAGAGTTTACATGTTTGGGTGAACTATCCCTTTAATTAAACACACATTCACCTCTCATCAGGACGTATCGTGTGGCAGTAGAAGTCGGGTCGATTGACGAAGAAGCCCGTCCTCTTCACCACATTCTCAGCGATCATACTGAGACGGTCCAACACGTTACACAGTTTACTGCACAGGAGAGAAGAAACAAAGAGATTTACATGATTTAACATGTTGCTAACATGATTGAGCACGTTGCTAGCATGAATTAGCATGTTTTAACATGATACTAACATGTTTAGCATGTTGCTCGCATGATTAAACAATGTAAACATGATTTAACAAGTTGTTAGCATGTTTAAACATGCTGCTAGCATAATGTGACAAGTTGCTAGCATGATACGCAAATTGATAACATGTTTTAACATGTTGTTAACAGAATTAACATGTTACTAAGATGAATAGCATGTTACAAGCAGGTTTTATCAAGTTTCCTTGCTAGCATGTGTTTTAACATGATACTAACATGTTTAGCATGTTGCTAACATTTCCTAAGCTAGTTGCTAGGCTTTCATAGTGATAGATGGATAGTTGATGAAGCTTAAATACTCTATTATTAGAGTTCTTGTTTTAAAGTTTTGCCCTCCTCAATGAAAGTGACAGCAGAGTAGCCAGTTAATCAATGAGGTTTCTTTACAAAGATAAAGTAAGAAATTACCGTATGTTTACTTAATTATTCAGTAAAACGATGTTATTGCGAATATTATTGTCACTTGTTCATCATTGTGTCAGTGTTTTATCCGCTGAAATTAGCAGCTTCTTATCATGATGAACAACATAGTGACGAAACGCGTGTGTCCGTTCAGGGCCACCGTAGAAACGTGTGTGTAAGCGGACCCGCGGTGTGTGTAGAGAGAAACGCCTCATTCTAAGCTAATAAACACGCTTCATTATGTAAGGTCTTTGTACACCACTGAACACATAGTTATGTTTATGATAATGCATTTCTGTCAACAGATCCTCCTAAATATTACACACTGCACCTTTACATAAGATTAATAAATGCTGAATAAGTATCATTCATTATTAGTTCATGTTAACTAAAGAAGTATTTCAAATAAATGCAGTCTTGCTGAGTAGAAGAGATCCTCACACACACACACACACATACACACACCTCTTGGTGTATCGGGCCATGTCCCAGGCGATGTACTTGATGCCGTGCTCCGGTACTCACTCACACACACACACACACACACACACACCTCTTGGTGTATCGGGCCATGTGCCAGGCGATGTACTCGATGCCGTGCTCCGGTACTCACACACACACACACACACACACACACACACACACACCTCTTGGTGTATCGGGCCATGTGCCAGGCGATGTACTCGATGCCGTGCTCCGGTACTCACACACACACACACACACACACACACCTCTTGGTGTATCGGGCCATGTGCCAGGCGATGTACTCGATGCCGTGCTCCGGTACTCACACACACACACACACACACACCTCTTGGTGTATCGGGCCATGTCCCAGGCGATGTACTCGATGCCGTGCTCCGGTACTCTCACACACACACACACACACACACACACACACACACACACACCTCTTGGTGTATCGGGCCATGTCCCAGGCGATGTACTCGATGCCGTGCTCCGGTACTCACACACACACACACCTCTTGGTGTATCGGGCCATGTCCCAGGCGATGTACTCGATGCCGTGCTCCGGTACTCTCACACACACACACACACACACACACACCTCTTGGTGTATCGGGCCATGTCCCAGGCGATGTACTCGATGCCGTGCTCCGGTACTCACACACACACACACACACACACACACACACCTCTTGGTGTATCGGGCCATGTCCCAGGCGATGTACTCGATGCCGTGCTCCGGTACTCACACACACACACACACACACACACACAAACACACACACACACCTCTTGGTGTATCGGGCCATGTCCCAGGCGATGTACTCGATGCCGTGCTCCGGTACTCACACACACACACACACACACCTCTTGGTGTATCGGGCCATGTCCCAGGCGATGTACTCGATGCCGTGCTCCGGTACTCTCACACACACACACACACACACACACACACACACACACCTCTTGGTGTATCGGGCCATGTCCCAGGCGATGTACTCGATGCCGTGCTCCGGTACTCACACACACACACACACACACCTCTTGGTGTATCGGGCCATGTCCCAGGCGATGTACTCGATGCCGTGCTCCGGTACTCTCACACACACACACACACACACACACACACACACCTCTTGGTGTATCGGGCCATGTCCCAGGCGATGTACTCGATGCCGTGCTCCGGTACTCACACACACACACACACACACCTCTTGGTGTATCGGGCCATGTCCCAGGCGATGTACTCGATGCCGTGCTCCGGTACTCTCACACACACACACACACACACACACACACACACACACCTCTTGGTGTATCGGGCCATGTCCCAGGCGATGTACTCGATGCCGTGCTCCGGTACTCACACACACACACACACACACACACACACACACACACACCTCTTGGTGTATCGGGCCATGTCCCAGGCGATGTACTCGATGCCGTGCTCCGGTACTCACACACACACACACACACACACACACACACACACACACACACCTCTTGGTGTATCGGGCCATGTCCCAGGCGATGTACTCGATGCCGTGCTCCGGTACTCACACACACACACACACACACCTCTTGGTGTATCGGGCCATGTCCCAGGCGATGTACTCGATGCCGTGCTCCGGTACTCTCACACACACACACACACACACACACACACACACACACACCTCTTGGTGTATCGGGCCATGTCCCAGGCGATGTACTCGATGCCGTGCTCCGGTACTCACACACACACACACACACACCTCTTGGTGTATCGGGCCATGTCCCAGGCGATGTACTCGATGCCGTGCTCCGGTACTCACACACACACACACACACACACACACACACACCTCTTGGTGTATCGGGCCATGTCCCAGGCGATGTACTCGATGCCGTGCTCCGGTACTCACACACACACACACACACACACACACACACACACACACACACACACACACCTCTTGGTGTATCGGGCCATGTCCCAGGCGATGTACTCGATGCCGTGCTCCGGTACTCACACACACACACACACACACACACACACACACACACACACACACCTCTTGGTGTATCGGGCCATGTCCCAGGCGATGTACTCGATGCCGTGCTCCGGTACTCACACACACACACACACACACCTCTTGGTGTATCGGGCCATGTCCCAGGCGATGTACTCGATGCCGTGCTCCGGTACTCTCACACACACACACACACACACACACACACACCTCTTGGTGTATCGGGCCATGTCCCAGGCGATGTACTCGATGCCGTGCTCCGGTACTCACACACACACACACACACACCTCTTGGTGTATCGGGCCATGTCCCAGGCGATGTACTCGATGCCGTGCTCCGGTACTCACACACACACACACACACACACACACACACACACACACCTCTTGGTGTATCGGGCCATGTCCCAGGCGATGTACTCGATGCCGTGCTCCGGTACTCACACACACACACACACACACACACACACACACACACACACACCTCTTGGTGTATCGGGCCATGTCCCAGGCGATGTACTCGATGCCGTGCTCCGGTACTCACACACACACACACACACACACACACACACACACACACACACACACACACACACACACACACCTCTTGGTGTATCGGGCCATGTCCCAGGCGATGTACTCGATGCCGTGCTCCGGTACTCACACACACACACACACACACACACACACACACACCTCTTGGTGTATCGGCCATGTCCCAGGCGATGTACTCGATGCCGTGCTCCGGTACTCTCACACACACACACACACACACACACACACACACACCTCTTGGTGTATCGGGCCATGTCCCAGGCGATGTACTCGATGCCGTGCTCCGGTACTCACACACACACACACACACACCTCTTGGTGTATCGGGCCATGTCCCAGGCGATGTACTCGATGCCGTGCTCCGGTACTCACACACACACACACACACACACACACACACACCTCTTGGTGTATCGGCCATGTCCCAGGCGATGTACTCGATGCCGTGCTCCGGTACTCTCACACACACACACACACACACACACACACACACACCTCTTGGTGTATCGGGCCATGTCCCAGGCGATGTACTCGATGCCGTGCTCCGGTACTCACACACACACACACACACACCTCTTGGTGTATCGGGCCATGTCCCAGGCGATGTACTCGATGCCGTGCTCCGGTACTCACACACACACACCTCTTGGTGTATCGGGCCATGTCCCAGGCGATGTACTCGATGCCGTGCTCCGGTACTCTCACACACACACACACACACACACACCTCTTGGTGTATCGGGCCATGTCCCAGGCGATGTACTCGATGCCGTGCTCCGGTACTCACTCACACACACACACACACACACACACACACACACACACACACACACACACACACACACACACACACACACACACACACACACACACACACACACACACACACACACACACACACACACACACACACACCTCTTGGTGTATCGGGCCATGTCCCAGGCGATGTACTCGATGCCGTGCTCCGGTACTCTCACACACACACACACACACACACACACACACCTCTTGGTGTATCGGGCCATGTCCCAGGCGATGTACTCGATGCCGTGCTCCGGTACTCACACACACACACACACACACCTCTTGGTGTATCGGGCCATGTCCCAGGCGATGTACTCGATGCCGTGCTCCGGTACTCTCACACACACACACACACACCTCTTGGTGTATCGGGCCATGTCCCAGGCGATGTACTCGATGCCGTGCTCCGGTACTCACACACACACACACACACACACACACACACACACACACACACACACACACACACACACACACACACACACACACACAGACACACACACACACACACACACACACACACACACACACACACACACCTCTTGGTGTATCGGGCCATGTCCCAGGCGATGTACTCGATGCCGTGCTCCGGTACTCTCACACACACACACACACACACACACACACACACACACACACACCTCTTGGTGTATCGGGCCATGTCCCAGGCGATGTACTCGATGCCGTGCTCCGGTACTCACACACACACACACACACACCTCTTGGTGTATCGGGCCATGTGCCAGGCGATGTACTCGATGCCGTGCTCCGGTACTCACACACACACACACACACACACACCTCTTGGTGTATCGGGCCATGTGCCAGGCGATGTACTCGATGCCGTGCTCCGGTACTCACACACACACACACACACACACACCTCTTGGTGTATCGGGCCATGTGCCAGGCGATGTACTCGATGCCGTGCTCCGGTACTCACACACACACACACACACACACACACACACACACACACACACACACCTCTTGGTGTATCGGGCCATGTCCCAGGCGATGTACTCGATGCCGTGCTCCGGCGGGAGGAACTGGTTCAGGTTGGTGATGGCGGGATAGAGCTCCTCGCTCAGGATCTTCTCATGCTTCCTCTTCTCTCGCTTCTGAGGAAATCAGAATCACCAAACCAAAGACTATTACACTGATTATCAAACATGGTTAAACTGTGGCACACAAAACAGCAGCAAACCTTTGGGGACAACAGACAATTTGCAAATACTCAAGTATTTTTTTTTATAAAAGTATAAATATAAAGTACAAAAAAAAATTCATGCTTACAGATATTTTTTCTTAAGTCATTTTGCTGCTCAAGTAAATGTATCTTTATTTAAGAATTTGTAGATATTTGATTAACACTTAAAGATTTTATACATATAAAATGCATTTTAGAGGTATTTTTAACACATTAATTAAAGTATTTTTGGAGTATAAAATACTATTTCAGTAGCATACACTACCAGTCAAAAGATTACGATCGGTGAGATTTTTTATGTTTTTTAAAGAAGTCTCTTCTGCTCACCAACGCTGCGTTTCTATGATTAAAAATAACAACAACAAAAAAAAAAACAGTAATATTGTGAAATATTATTCTACTGTAAATCAGCTGTTTTCTATGTGAATATATAGTAAAGTGTAATTTATTCCTGTGATCAAAACTGAATTTTCAGCATCACCAGTGTCAGTGTCACATGATCCTTCAGAAATCACTCTAATATGAGGATCTGATGCTCAAGAAACATTTATGATTATTATCAGTGTTGAAAACATTTAAATATTTATTTCGATGGCCAGAAATCATGTTCATGGATGAGCATAAAGGTTTTCAAACATTAATAAAATGGGTCGCCAGGATGATTAAAGGAAAATGGAGGGCACATTAAAAATAAAATACAAATATCAACAACAAAAAAATACGCTAAATATATTTGACTTAACAGATTAACAAAATTATTACATAAAATAAATCAGAATTAGCCCTATAAATCCTACTGTATAATATTTTTCATTAATTTCTAAGGTCTGATTGATAGTTTAGTGTAATTGTACAGACGTCCTCCTTCAGCCCGTGTCTTTCTCCGGTCAAATCTGCACTATTTTATCAAGTAAACATAAGAATAACTTTGATATTGTTAGTAATATTTCATCTGCAGTGAAGCAGCTTCGGTTTACTTGATTATCAGACATTATTAATTAGAAAAATCATGAGCATCAAATATGATCATCAGGCTTTTGAGGAAGGTTTATTTGTTCATCTCTCAATCATCCTTACATTACATTTAAATATCATCTTACTAAGACATATTATTGGGAGATATTGATATTTATATGCATTTCATGCAAGTATCTGCTACTGTTATAAAGATCTCACTGATTTACATTACAAGCATCAGAATTTAATCTTACAGTTTGTGCATATAAATATCAGCATCTGCACCATTTGCATATTTCTCTCTATATGATCATAAGTGAGTCATCAAAGCCGGATGCATCGACTGATCCTCAACTCAAAGAACCAGGAGTGTGTTCGCGTCGCTGGAGAACATCAGAGGAGCAGCGAAGCACATGATGTGGATGTAGACTCAAACACCACGTCCTTCTGCTCCTCTGTCGGGAGCAATGACTAATCCAAGATGAAGACGAGTGAGACATTATCACACACGCAGACACACACACACACACAGACACACACGTGATCCGCTGGTTAACGCGCTCAATCCTCGGGCCACATTTACACGTGCTGTTAAACGACTCCAGCGTCCGATTCCTATCATCATCAACACAGCGCTGACACACACTCACTACTGGAGGCCAGTGGAAAACACACACACACACACACACACACACACACACACACACACACAAAGTCTGGGCTGGAGCTCAATGGACTCACACACACACACAAACACACACAGTCTGGGCTGGAGCTCAATGTACTCACACACACACACACACACACACACACAGTCTGTGCTTGAGCTCAATGCACTCACACACACACACACACATAGTCTGGGCTTGAGCTCAATGCACTCACACACACACACACACACACACACACAGTCTGGGCTTGAGCTCAATGCACTCACACACACACACACACACACACACACATACACAGTCTGGGCTGGAGCTCAATGCACTCACACACACACACACACACACTCACACAGTTTGAGCTGGAGCTCAATGCACTCACTCACTCACTCACACACACACAGACACACACACGCACACACACTCACACACACACAGTTAGAGCTGGAGCTCAATGCACTTTCAAACACACTCACACACACACACACACACACAGTCTGGGCTGGAGCTCAATGCACTCACACACACACACACACACACACACACACACACACACTCACACAGTTTGAGCTGGAGCTCAATGCACTCACTCACTCACTCACACACACACAGACACACACACGCACACACACTCACACACACACAGTTAGAGCTGGAGCTCAATGCACTTTCAAACACACTCACACACACACACACACACAGTCTGGGCTTGAGCTCAATGCACTCACACACACACTCACACACAGTCTGGGCTTGAGCTCAATGCACTCACACACACACACACACACACACACACACACACACACACACACAGTCTGGGCTTGAGCTCAATGCACTCACACACACACACACACACACACACACACATACACAGTCTGGGCTGGAGCTCAATGTACTCACACACACACACACAGTCTGGGCTTGAGCTCAATGCACTCACACACACACACACACACACTCACACACACTCACACAGTTTGAGCTGGAGCTCAATGCACTCACTCACTCACACACACACAGACACACACACGCGCACACACTCACACACACACAGTTAGAGCTGGAGCTCAATGCACTTTCAAACACACTCACACACACACACACACAGTTTGGGCTGGAGCTCAATGTACTCACTCACACACACACTTGCACACACACGCACTCACTCACACACACACACACACACACACACACACACACACACACACACACACACAGTTTGAGCTGGAGCTCAATGCACTTTCACACACACACACACACACACACACTAACACACACACACTCACACACACACACACACACACATACACACAGTTTAAACTGGAGCTCAATGCACTCATGAACACAAATTTTACAGGGTGTTTGACACACACTCTCTACTGGAGGCCAGTGGAAAACACACACATACACAGCTCAATGCACTCACAAACACACACATTTACAGTGTATTTGACACACACACGTGTGACGACCACATGTTCCACTGAACGAGCGTGTGGAGTTAATTAGACCGCATTCTTAGCATGTAATCGCCTCATTTGGGTCATTAAGGATCTTTTGTCACATGCTTTTATCCGGACGGACACACACACACACACTCTGAACACACAAGCACATGTGTTATAAACCTGTCAGGCACAACGGTGTGTGAAACACAGATCCGCTTTTGGCACATGGCCTTCACACGAACATCACATGTCTGGATCAAACTGGGCCGAGGAGATTCGGGTCTTTGTTCCTGAAAGCCAACGTGAGCCGGACGGGACATTTACACAGCAGATTTTACACAAAACCATCAGACTCTGTGTGTGTGCGTGTGTGTGTGTGTGTGTGTGTGTTTCGACTCATTATCTCACACAAACAATCAATAAAAGCGGGCCAAGCATTGAGCCTTGCGTAACTCCCTTTCTCCAGTTTTTGTTCAGCAGAAAATCAATGTTATGTTGAAGCTGTTTGTGCGAACGGTGTTTTGAGCCTATAACAAACTGACCTACAGTAATTACAGAAAACAGTCTTCACAAACACATCTTTGTCAGACGGAAGGGCATTGAGTCTGGCCAATTGCATAACGAATTAGAAAGATGAGAGGATTACGAAAATCATATATAATTCACATTAACTAAGAGCTTTGAGTATTCTAGTGTCATTTCTGATATAACCCACAGGATAAAACTGTCGAACAGATTTGAAAAACGAGGCCAGCATGATGTTTATGTGTGGATTGGGGTTATTAGGATTAGTTCAATTAGCCAAAAAAAGTAGGCTCACTATTGGCCGACGCTGGTCATGTGTGTGATGCGATTTAACGATGTCTTTAATAACTTTCTGTTCCGGCAAGTTTCAACTACAATAGAAGCCTATGGAGGAGTGAGACAGCTCTCAGATTTAATCACAAATATCTTCATTTGTGTCCCGAAGATGAAGGAAAGTCTGACGGGGTTGAACAACACGAGGGAGAGTCATTACTGACAGAGTTTACATGTTTGGGGGAACTAACCCTTTAAGTCTTACCAATTTAAACATTTTAAATCATTTTAGTACAAGAAGAGGTGAAAGAAAACTCGGTTCCACTTTATTTCGATAGTCCACTTTAGACATTCTAAGTAACTTTGCAACTACATGTCAACTAACTGTCATTAGAGTATTAGTAGACTGTTAGGTTAGGGTTAGGGTTCGGGTTAGGAGAATAAGTTGACTTGTAGTTGTAAAGTTACTTATAGTCAGTGGAACATTAGAGTTATCAGATATTAAGCAGACAGGCTACTAATCTTTGTTCCTGAAAGCCAACGTGAGCCGGACGGGACATTTACACAGCGGATTTTACATAAAACCATCAGACTGTGTGTGTGTGTGTGAGTGTGTGTGCATTTGTTCATGTGTGCAGTCAGTGTGTTTTTTTAGGAAGTGCATTATATAAAAGTGTTCATGTGAAGCACATTTCAGGGAGCTTTCAAAGAATTTAATACTTTCATTCAAGATAGGATGCATTACATTGACCAAATGTGTCAGTAAAGACATTTATAATGTTATAAAACATTTACATTTTTAAAATAAATGAATCTCTATTAAATCAAAGAATCCTGAACAATAAAATGCATCACTGTTCCCAACTGTTTTCATCACTGATAATAATCATAAATGTGTCTTGAGCATCAGATCCTCTAGGCAGTGGGCCAAGTCCGTCTATCTCGTTTAGTTTTTGATTTGATAGTTACCCAGCAGCTGTGTGGCTCATTTTTTTAATTTGTCTGTATGAATAATTCACAAAAAGATTACCGATTGTTTCCAA